ACCTAGCCGGGTACTAGACAAATCCCGGCATCCATCTTCAAAAGGAGTGGCCGAACACTTCAACCACCTGACATCACCGATTCATCAACATGACGCTGGCCACCATGGGGTCATACTTGAATTCCAAAGCACAGTTCTCCGCGCTCTGGAGAATCGAAGAATTTTTTTCATGTGAGAATCCGTTTATAGGACTAATATGTGAATAAACATAATGGGCAGAATGAGTTCTAGTTCCGCACTTGAAATATATAGAGATGCCAGGAGAGAAGAAATGGGGTCTCGCATTTCATTTATTATATAGAAGGTCACCCTTTATGACAGCGACACTGGTACCGCAGTTTCGCAGGACACAAAGAGTCACCTTTGCGATCAAATGCGTTGCCTTCTGCGACTCTGGGCAGTAATGAAAATGTCAGATGGCGCCTAAATGAAGTAGTAGCAGGAAATCAAAAAACCAGAAGTCTAGAGTGACCAGAAATCTAAAGTGACCCGGAATTGAGCTACAGTATGTTCTGATGAACACTATTAGCCAGGGATAAATTTCCACGATAACCAATATCAAGCTTACCTAGGTTAGAGAGAACGAAAAACAAAGACCCCAATCATTTCATCCCGAGGTTGAAAGTAGAACTCGACGTGGTATAGACAGACGCCCTCAAAGTAGGCATCTGTCTATACGAAATTGATCGGCAAATATTAATCAATAGGATACTTACAACAAAAATATGCCATCTCCGAATTACTGGAAAAAGTCACAGCTGAGTTTTTCAGAGAGGCTTAAGAGAAAATGTTGAAGCCGACGTTTCCTTTATAAGGAAATTTGGGTAAAGGTTGTTCCCGACTATGACGGAACAGGCAGTGTTTTCCATCATTGCCCATAACTTCAGCTCAAGGTACGATGTTTCTTCAGAAAAAGGCCTATGAAAGTGAATGCAGGATTGTACCTCCATACAAAAGGATACTAGACTAACAAAACAAAGCCTGTCTAATCGGGGGAATCTAATACCTCCGACCATGTATTCCACCGATTCGTTTCACCCCCCAATCAAGGACTACCCTCAGCAGGGCGCATCATCGCGAATAATATAGTCGTATCATCGGAAAATAAGCCGGCAAATGAGATAAGGGAGCACCACTAGACGGCATAGGGCTGTGCTCCCTAACAAATTCGCAGAATAGCAGATACGCAACACCTGAGACCGCGTCTCTGGGAGAAGAGAATCCCACTAATGTGCATAACCTTCCCAGAATCCCTATCAAGCTCAATGAGCAGGTGGTATCGACCTAAGTAGATACGGGAGCTTCTAGCAACTTCATTAGAGCAGACAAACTACCTCACATTGATATAAATGCGCTTTTGAATTCGGGCACTGTTCTAATGGAATGTGCGAATAATATTAGTCACAGATTGGGTCAACCATTAATAAACATGTCTATAGAAAAGCGATTGTTCCCAATTAAATTTACGGTTTTATGACACCTCCAGAAGCAGAAGGTCCCACAAAAATTCCCCACTGACGTTAGAAAACTCTCAATTTGACATACATGCAGAATGCAGTGACAATTCACCGTCAGAGCGGTTGTCCTCAAATGAATGAATACACAAAAACTGCAACAATCTTTTCGCCATGCGTTTCACTAAACAAACTGGCATCAGAAGACGAACTGAACTAATTACCAACACTCTCCTTTCTACACCTAACAGGGCACAGTTCAAATTTTATTTTTGATGAGTATAAACTAGCGGGCAGTTTTGTCATGCAAGTTTCCCCGAATTTTCAACAGAATTATTCATATGAAATAAAAACATTTGTTATTTAAAATAGGACCTCTCTCACTGTACTTTGATATTTTCAGACTTTCGAAAGTATCCAGAAGTCTCAACAGATCTCAATACTTTTAGACAGAGTTCATTTATTATAAGACCGTTCTACAAGACGTGTTGGGTGGCACTATACACTTTTTTGGTCTCAGAAATCGAATATGAGCAGTGTGTTCTTTGAAACCAGTTTCAATAACGCATTCAGTTAGACCAATATTTTTGTTGTAGTCCTCTCAGCTCATTTCACATATACACCTACCCGACATTTCATTTTCCGCCATCTTGTCTTCAGAGTTGCCTAACATTTGTTGTAATGATGAGCAAACAGTTTTGAAAACTACTTTCAAGTTTATTTTTTTGAATCAGTATAATCCAGTAGTCAGTGCAATAAAGTTTGAATCAGTATATATTTGAAAAGACAAGATTTACAAAAATGTTCCCTTACCTACCTCTCTACATATTTGACGGATACCTATTGCATTCAGTTATGTCCATGATAGCATTTTTCTCAATATCATATCTTTCTTTAATTAAGGGAAACGTAATGAGCCTATGAACAAAAAAGTAGTCCCGCAATTTTTTTGTATGGACAATGAAGGGGCTATCTATTCTTCGTATAGATATGGTTAATTCCAATCACCGAGATATTTGTGAATAGTAGCTTCTTGTTGGTAGGCATAAACAGGCGAGTATTAGAGTTAGAAATTGGTGAAGTTCTTCTCCAACTTGGTTAGAGAAAGGCGCCTCGAGAAGAGTTTTGCAGTTTTGCTTGTTAAATTTCGATGAATTCAGAAAGTTAGAGATTCCAAACAAATGATGCAAGGTGTTTCATTGTAAAATTGAAAGTGGATGTGATTTCCTGAGAAAGTGGAAATGAAACAAATGTGATTAAGCCAAAACATTATTTTCAGAAAGAATATTCTATGGTCCAAATATCAAATGAAAAATAGAGCAAAACATGTAGGTCACTGACACACAGTAGTACCATGGTGTATATAATGGGTAACATTGAATCGATTGAATTAGTAATTTAGTAGCATTTTGAACTCATTATGAAACCTCTTGAAAGTTGTAAAAAAATATGTAGAATTAATGCTAATTTTCTGTTTTACATTCTAGAATTGGAAAAGTTGGATTCATCGAATCATAAACATAAAATCTCATGAAATCTAGTCACATTCTGTTGACAATAAATGATGTACCAATGACAAAAACAAACATATTGTAAATCCGGCGATACTCAATCAGGTTACAATTCGGCCCTTGAAAAATATTTTCTGCTTATGAAATATGCCTCCAGCAAATAACATTTTTCTGCATTAGAGAATGGCATATTGTTGACAACCAACAACTTAAGCGAATACATCAAATATTTACATTTTCGAATATCATAGTGATCCTGGTATTATTTGAATATGAGACCCATATCCATCTAAGTAGCACTCAAAGCTGTGAAAAACCACCTACCCCTGCTTTGTTTATTAAACAATAAATGGAAAACAAATGAATTGAGTGCTCCTTTTGAGCAGTTCCACTTTGTTTTTTGTATTATGCTTTCATAATTGAAACATTTTCTACAACAAATCACTTGATATAGTGATTTCCAGATGTTATTCAGTCATTTTAATTTTATTCCTTGCATCCTAATGAAACTAAAAGTGACAGTTTTGGCTGGCTTCTTTTCACACAGGTACAGATTTACTAACATTGATTAATTCTATCAAAACATTGTTAATACAGTATGTTCTGATTATGGGATGTTTTTTATCGAAAATGGCATTACTTTGCATTTTAGAGATATTCAGGGCTAAGTCATTCTCCTCACAGAAAACAGAAATAGAACCTTCATCATATTGAAAAAGTTTGGTGTCCTCGAGTGCTTTTGACAGATAGGAATATTTTCAAGGTGACTGTCAAATTGCCAAACAGTATAAATGGTGTCAATTTAAGATTTCCTTGGCAACGTAGTCGATGCCAAGGTTACAGTGGATCTATTATTGATAAAGCCATTATTTCATTGATTAGTACTGTAGTGATATGATGATAAATCTTATTAGAAAATACTTTTTCAAAAAATTTTCAATGTAATAGGTCTGTAGTTTCAGATGAGGCTAGTATTACCTGACTTATGTATTGGTGTTATTCGATAGACTTCAAATCTATTGAGAAGCACGTTGTTCTACAAGGATATATTGAGTATAGTTTGTAATGGGCCTAGTACGATTTCTGCAAATGTTTCAAAGAAGTGAGAATGCCATCGATGGCATTTTTGAAATATTTTTGAACAAGGAAAAAACGTTGTAATAAACATATACTTGACTGCCAGTCTCAATAAGTATTCAAGAACAAGTATTTCAAGAAAAACCTGCTTCCACTTGCCATGACCAGTTGTGAGACAACTTTAGAACTTTTTGGAAACGGAAAAGTTAAAGTCATGAAGATGTTTGAAAAAATACCAAATTTAATGATGATGAGAGACAGTTTTTATTTGGAAAAGTTTTTTCAATAGATGCATTTTATACTAGCAATATATGGTGTTCCAAAATCAGAACAAATAACAAAGCAATTTCGATCAATGCCACCTACTTCTTCATCATCTCAACAGCATATTTAACAGGTTTAGTATCACATATAAATCTGGATAGGAAGAGAAATTGATCCAGAACAGTGGGGGTTGGAAGCTGAAAAATAACATACATCCAGTAACAAATTTATTACCTCTTGCATCCAATGAGCTACTGGAAGCAATATTTTGTAATTCTGAAAAAGGTTGTGGCAGCAAATGAGAGTGTAAAAAAATTGTTTCTGAAGCTTTTGGACATTGCCGTACCAAGTAGGCATATTAAAATTTGGACTCCCCTAATGATAATGTAGATTTAAATATGAAAATAAATCCACTGGATATTTTATCACCATCTGTGAATGATAGAGAAACTGATCTGATCGGACGAAAAACAATTTTTTAAAAACCTTCATTGACCTCCAAAAACTGAAGTCGATTTTTCACATTGTCTTTTGAAAACCGTAATGTAATTTTCCGCAGTTGAAATCAACCTACAACGACTGGACTATTGAAATGATCAACAAATGATTCACAATGACTGCATTTCAAAAAACTAAACTCTATTTTAATATCCACAGATCACCTTAAGCAGATGAAACAAAATGAAAACAAGAATTGATAAAACAGAGATATAATGGAATGTACAAATTATTTATTTTCAACAAAATTTTGCTGTTCCCTTCTTACAACAGAACCACTCTACATAATATAATACTCTACAACAATGGGATTAACATCTGCCTATAATAACTAACCTGTTCAATAAGCAGATGTTTTCCCAACAAGCTTCACATGCTGACAAAGTTGATCTATGTCAAAATGAAAAAAGGAAAACTACAGGGTAATTGAATAGTGATTTTCCATTTATATTGTGTTTTCAGGAGTTTGTATAGCACCCTTCATCAGCCTTCAAATAAGAGCCGAGATAAATAATTTTAATCGATGACTTGAGACAAAATTTAAAGGTTACAAAGACAAGTGGAAAATCAGCCATTTCCACAACAACCCTGTATAACATTTGTATGGTCTAAGGACAAAAAAGCACAGCCAGCTAACAATTATTTTCGCCATTTTTTCAGGTGGGTGTGCTTTTTTTAAAAGCTAAACTATTTTTAGGCTAACACGTATAACTATGGACATCAAAAACCATCAATACACTCATGTTGTCATATTTACAACAATGTTAACTTAACAAGACCAATTTATGTTAGTATTTGGAAGGTGACTGAACATCTCACAAAACTCTTGATAATTTCAATTTTGTAAATTAATGAGCATGGATTCAGAACCGATTTTTGATAAGTCAAAATATTCGATAAACTGTAGACTTGAACCTTCCAACTAACAGTTTCAAAAACAGAAAACTTAATGGAATTGAATTGCATTAATACTCGCTTGAAAATGTATATGAAAAAACTGCCAAAATAACATTCCTTAACCATAAGTGTTGTAACCTGCCCATATTTCTAAAGGCCATGACCTTGTTGAAACAAAATAAAAAATTAATTGTGCTACTGTTTGTAACTTTATTCAAATACTTGGTAGACTCAATAGAGCCTTTTTTCATAATTATATAGGAAAAAGATGATAGATAACCTAGAATCTACGAATAACTATACAATTAATTTACTGATAGGAGGTGACTCGCTATGAAAATGAAGCTGGAGGCATCTAAGTCTGTTTAAAATTATTTACAATGATAGTACTGGTATAGAAGAGTACGAAGCAAAATACACAACGAACAATTTCACTCAGACAACCTATTCAACCGCAGTCTTTGGCATGAGTATAGTTTATTTTGTCTCGTACTTCTAAAATAAGAGCCCTATCAATACTAAATTATTTACAACCCCCATCTTTGTCACTTTCACCGCCTGTTACCGATTTTTTACAATCATTTTTTTTTACACTTATTAAAATATTGAAAACAAAATGATCGGGGGCGAGAGGTGCAACATTCGGTTTGCGATGTTGGGAAGATGATGAGGATTTGACAGTTTAAGATTTGGTATAGAGGAAGATAGCTACAATGAGACCGTACAGACCTAATACCTCAGCGAAAATGAGAATCAAAATCATTCCCACGAAGAGTCTAGGTTGTTGTGCTATTCCTCTAACCCCAGCGTCACCTACAATACCAATAGCAAAGCCGGCAGCAAGTCCAGAGAAGCCTACTGATAGTCCTGCACCCAAATGTACAAAACCACTGAAAAAAATGAAAACACGTTATTAAATGAGATACAAAGTTTTCCGGGCAGTAAATACTAATACTAATAAATAAATACTAAATTTTGAATTTGTTTTGTATAGGTACTTCATTATGTTTTAGTGATAGTAATAATAGTAATAATCTCACGACGTGGAAAGTGGTCAGTGATTAATGATGCCGGAGCTCCAAATCGACGATTTCCCTACTGTTGCTGGTCGCAGTGACAACGGGCGTTTTGAGATGACAAGCACACTGAGGGCAGCCTAATGCATTGTTAAGAGTGTAGCGAGCCTGCACGAGAAGAATACATGGCGAGAATGCATGCTATATGGTGTTGAAATACAAATTAAGCTTGCTGTCCTTTCTACCCAAAATTTGAGGGAGTTACGTCGTCGACAAGGCTATGTAGCTCCACATTACCCTAATAACAAAGCAGTAAAAGTTATAGTTCAACTTTCCGTTAACTGGAGCCTCGAATTAAGATCGAACACACAGACGTTCCACAATGTTAGGATTCTTAGGCCACAACTGGTTCGAGTAGATGAAAAGGAGGCATTTGGCAAATTAGCACAATCTTGTACAAAACCTGTCAAGCATTTCACCTTTTAACAAACCTGTCAAGCAGTTTCCCAACCGGAGAGTGGAATTCCTCTTCTTCATTTCGGAAATTTGGTTGACCAATACATAAGATGAAAGCTAAAATCAAATCGGTGAGACAACACACGTCTCGTATTCAATGCGTGATATACTAATAAGCCCTTCACGCCTGCGGTGCGGCAAATAACCGCTAAATTAAAACGTATCCATCACATTTTCAGTCAAGAAATGTTGCTAAAGCACCAAGCAGTGGCGGCTAAAAGGTAACATTTTCTGTCAAGAAATGGTGCTAAGCACCAAGTAACATTGTCATTTTTTCAAGTCTGCTACTCGAGTAGCCGATTTGAACTTAGTTTTTTTTTCGACACTAAACGAGGTAACCAGAACTGTGTCAGCGAGATGGAACTCGTTCAACTAATAGCCCACATACAAGCCGCAGAGATCAATGTATACCTAAAGCTTTATAATAATCCGATGCAGAATGTTCTTCAAGAACATTGAAAACCTTGGCTTCAACAAGTCACGTGGGTTTAAATCAACCATCAAGGGATTCAACATGTCTTGTTTGAGTAGTGACACTAAATGCAGGATCAGCTGTGAGACGCATGAGACTCGTTTACATTTTGTGTCAGCCTGTACCCACCAACAAAATCTGACATTGAGAGTGCTATATTACCATTTTTGACACTTCTACGAAACACAAGTATTGCTTTTTGCTCCAGGGAATATTGAATGCGTTGTGAGATTTATTTTAACTACTCATTTTCTACTCTCAGGCAGATACAAGCTGATATAGACCTTCTCGACCATCAAGGTGAGGCGATATTCATCGTGGAGTTTTTCACTCTGGATGAACCGAGAGGAGGGAATCTGTAAATTCTAAATCTGTAGATTATATATCTTGGAAAGGTTGCCTTATTATATAGAAGTCATTGGTGGAATAATGTCTACCCTACTCTCAAATCTCAGGGTCATACACAGCTTGACCAGCAATTTGTTTTTCATACAAAAAATTATAAATCATAATAATATTCAAAAATACCGGTGCATTGGACTTTTTCAAAATATTCTCCAATATGGTTTTGGTTTTTAATTGAAATGAGATATACTGCTTTACCTGCTAATCCCAATAGGTGAAGCAAACTGATGAAAACAATTTTATTGAAATAGTTATTCTTCTCAGAAGACGATTTTGAATGTTTTTTACATTGTTGAAAAGTAATTTTACTGAAATTCTGGAATTCAATGAAGGGAAAACGTTTCTCTTTTTTTTTCAAGAAAACGTTGTTATTCATAGGGCTTAAATAAACCTAGTTGATGATGTAGACTCTTTTGTAGATTTTTCCATATGGGTATACTCAATAATTTTCAATATTTTTTTTGTGTTTAAAAACCGTCTTTACGTTATCAAAATTGAGTCTCTTCTTTTCATATTTCCGGACGAGATCTATCAGTTTGTATCGAATTTATTTTTGAAAATAGGATAAAGAAAATAATTTCAATCTGATTCCTACTAAGTTTCTATTTGTTACGACCGGTTTCTGTTTGTTAAACCATTCTCAAGTAAACTGATACATTCTGTCACAAGTCCCTAAATATACATCGATACGGTCAGGTACCAGGTACCTACTGGGCACCCTGTATTTCGGGGATTAATTCAGAAAAGCTCAATGCACTGATATGTAAAACTTTCATATGAAACTTTTTTTGATAACTTGACTATTTCCTTTCAAACCTAAAATGAAAGCTCGATGTGACACACACTGTATCTACAGGAACAATATTTACAATCGTTTCATGTATAAATAGAAGTTGAATAATAACAGACAGTGATATCATTAAACAATATACATTTGCAGTCGTATGTGTCAGTTAAATGTTAGTTCTGATTGAATTTCTTCAATTGAAAAGAAATTAATCGACGATATTGATTTTTTTATATTACACATCTTTTTTCTGATTTTCCTTTAATAACAAATGTACAATCCTTTCTGAACAATTCATCAATTGATATAACGAATCCCTTATGTTAGAGATTCGGGCTTCCTTCATTTAAAAAAGTGTTTGATATCTATGAGAGAAAAAATTAAGTACCAAATACCAGGTTATGAGAAGATTGATGAACTAAGAACAACTGAATTGTAATACCAGGACTGAAATATTAAGTTAGTTATAAAAAGATGATATCAAAAAAAGTTATAAACAATGAGTACAAAATTTAAAAACATGATAACGCTTATTTGTAAAGAAAACTAATTATTATGAACTGAAATATTGATGAATTAATGGTTCAAACAATAAGTGGAATGTCGATAATATATAAACAACAAAATAAAGAAATGTGAAAAAATCTAAATGAAAGGATTTCCAAGCAGGCTACTTTTTGATTGTATTATCCACGATGTTTTCACTGTTAATATGTATCCACATGTAACATATGTAACATGTATGCGGCTTCCTTGAATGTTGTCCAACAACGTATTCAGCCAAGCCAGCGTTAAAATGCAGTAAAAATTATTTACATTAACATTTTCATAATAGAGAGGAATTATATTAAAATCACTCATACATAAAACTTCATTAATACATGGAAGAGGCCTAAAGTTTCCTCAAATTTTTCTAAAAAAAGAATTTGTTTGGTGGAGGATTTGCAAATCACATCAATTGCTGCACTAATTTTTTGAAACACGACTTTAAGCCACACTTGTTCGCAAAAATTTCTCCAGTGGTCCATTGTTACACATTTTAATTTTTTTTTAACATAGTAATCTGTGATAACCCCCCTTAATTTCATGCAGTAATGGTTGCATTTAAACAACGCACTTTGAAATGATTCATTCAGTCAAATGAAAAACAGAATACCTAAAGAAAAAGGTGTAGACTATATAAAATTTCGTATAAATAACTATAATGTTCGAAACTGACTTATATAAGTAGATACTCTTCGTAGATGTTTTATTCACATTTTAAAAAACTAAATAATACGTAAATAGGAAAACCGTATCTCTTTGACATTTCAAAAAATATGGGCTGGGTGCCCGGTATTAATGACCTAAAGTTCTGACTTTATACTTCAAATAACCTTTTTTTATACTGTACTTTCGATTGAGAAAAAATTGTAGACCGTTAAGACAAAAGCCTTATCTAATACGAGTATTATATACTCTATTATACACAAATTTAAATATCTGTCCGCCTGTCACATGCAATGACGTAATGATAAGCGACTGACGCTAGCCTTATCTTGTTGTTTGTTAAGGATTGTATCACATGGTACAACTTATCTTTGATGGGTTGAATAACAACATGAAAGATTAAAACTATCTCTCTAGGTGAAAAAAAGGATCATATAGCATCATAACAAGATTTACAAAACTCGACTAGACTCGAAAACCACTGCCACTCTCCTGAGTGCTATGCCCGATTATTAAGTTCTGGCTCACCACATTCGCCTCGGTATTTCTACGATAAATGAAGAGAGTTAGGAAAAAACTTTTAGCGCAGTCATATGTGGGTCCATGAGGAGCATATTCCAAAATTATTTTGTAATGTATAGTGTGACTCCCAAAAAAGTTACACACCAAAGTTATATTTTTTCTTATGGAACACCCTCTATTTTTTCATATTTTTAGATACTATAGATAAAATAAAGGTGAGTTACTATTATATTTCCCATACTTTAAACTGACCGTTTCTGAGAAAATTTGAGAAATTTAAAAATATAGACCATAATTTAATTATTGTTTTCACCCTGTAATGTGTAACGAGCTGCACGTGATTAAATGTACTGCTTAGCTCAAAGATTAAAGTTAACTACCACATGAAATTTTTAATGCAATATTATTCAGAGTGGCAAAAAAACTTGCCTTAAAATTTGGACACACAATTAAATAACTTCTTAAAGTTGAATGAAACACCCCGTATTTAGATGCGTAATTTGACGCAGAAGTAGATTCCCTTCAAAACTATATTAGAGTTCCCTATACCTATCTCTTCTGCTTTTTACACAAAAGGCGTTTTTATATTTTACTTATGAGTAATTTTTTCATCTTAAAAATGGAACACCCTGTATTGTAATGAAAAGCAAAAAAGCATTTTTGAAGTCATTGTATCGAAAAATTAAGAATCTTAAATAGTTTATTATGGAATCAATGAAGTCGCCCCGGAGCGCCAATTAATTTTTATTGTTGTTTTTATTTTATTTTTATCGTTGTTTTAGAATAAAATGTTGTGCGGTTATTGTGAAATATCTCAACTTCGCATCAGAAGTGCTGTCCAGATATTACCCAAAGGATTCAGGAGCATCCATTATAATCTTTTNGATGAAGCTAAATGTCAACAAGTTCCGGTATCAATAAATGGTACCTTGATAGAATAAATCTCATCAGCCTACTATGTTGGTATATTTCCAAAGCCAACAAAAATATCCACCAAATGTTCCAGTCCCAATGCAATACAGGTATTGCATGACACCAACCTCATAAAAGTGCCTCCAGGATGCGAATTTGAGACACCGAAGCCACCTACATGAATTCTAAGGATTTCACAAATGAGCAGTCGCTACCTTTGCCAAAAGACCAATCCATTTTATTAGCATTCTGATGAACTTCACACAAATTTACGAACAAAGCCCTTAGGTCTCAGTCGATAAAACCCACTTTTGAAATACCCCTGTATTCATACTGCAATGTCAATTAAAATTTTTCTATTCAAATTACGTCACATCCTACGATGCCAGAAGACCTTTGTAACACAACCAATACCACTTACCAGAACTCAAGTTTTATTCGTCCCTCATATAATTTCAGGGAATGAAGAAATTCCAATCTAAATCCCCGAAGAATCGACTTTCATGATGGGCTAATGATGCGTCAGCGATAACCAACACAACCGACGAAGATGAAACTCTTGAAATTGCATTTTTTATTGTTATGAAGATTTTTATTTTATATTCTCAGTTATAACACGAGTTTTTTAATAAAATAGGCTTATTGTTGAGAACTGGATAGTATCGAATTGTAACTTCAATCAAATGAAAGAAAATTTTTAAAAAAATGTAAATTTACAAAATATGGAGAATATGTGAGGTAACTTACTTATATAAGCTGTAGGTTGAGTTGTCGTTTACGCTACCAGAGATCAGTACGGCAATGACCAACCCGTAAATGGCAACAATACCCGCCATGACAACGGGTATGATGCACTTCATAATCTGTTCAGGCCTCATGACGGCCATGGCAGCGATACCTGTGCCGGATTTTGCCGTTCCATAGGCTGCTCCCAACGCTGAAAATGAAGAATAATTAATATTGTGATGGAATCCCAATGCTTCGGATTCATTATTCAATGGCAAACATCTCTTCAATAATTTAGGCAACAAGTTGAAAAACGTGAAAAATACATTTAAAGCTTCTGAAAATGTGAGCAAGGCTTTATTCGATTCGGAATGAGGACTAGAAAAATATATTCAAAGGATTTTACAGTAGGTAACAAGTTACGAGTGTTGTAAACTAGTATTCCGTTTTTTTGTTAATAACATGAAAACTATAAATATTCAAAGAATCAAACAAAAAGTTTCTTGAAGAGGAAGATATTTTCCATTAAAAAGTCCCGACTCCCAGAAATAGTCACGTTTATTTTCCAAAGAAAAATACAATATTTATAGCAAGGAAAAAAAACATTTCAAAAACTAACTATAACATAACTAAGTGATTCATTCTATNTTCACTTGCTATCGTCCAACCCGTGTTAAGAATCATACGTTAAAATGTAAGACCTCGTTAGTCCTTAGCTTGCAAAAGTTTGCTTGTCGTTCGTAGGTGGGCGTAGCTGGTCAACGGAAAAAAAATTATCAACAGATTTTTTAACAGAATTAAACATCTCCTGCTTGAAATAAATAATCTCGGCCTCTCCTTAGGTATCCTAATTAATAATGGATATACAATATGAATAAGGATAGTCTTTTTACGCATACAAAAAAGAACTAATTCCAACTGCAACGAAAAAACCGTTAAAACATACATGCAAGCCAAATATGAACACAATCGGCAGTTGCTTCAATCGCACGAAACACATTCCTCGTAAACTGCTGACTTTCGTAGAGCGGAGTCATATATAAGTAAGACAAAATTTTGATATATCTGTCATTAGGTAACAAATGTGGTAACATGAAGTTTTAAAAATAGATCATTACCTTTATATTGAAAACATCACAACTGATATTTGCGGACCTTACAAAAACATTTATTTGAAACGTTAATTGCAAAATTATGAATATATCATTCTATAATTATTTTTGACATTTTTTGACTGGGGTTGTCAATTTGTTTATTAAAATTGTTATTTGAATGTACCTGAAAAAAATTCACTTGGCCACTATTAAATATTATTTAATATGAATTTACCAACAAAAACACTACTTTTCATGTGTTTATATATATATCACGAAAATATATTTTTTGTAGGAAAATGTGTCTAGTTTTAATAACTGAAAGATTTTCTCAGGTCTATAAATTCTATGCAAAAAATGTCATATGATAAAGGGCATATATGTACTAACTAATGTGTAGACGTTCTACCAGACTAGATATTTCCATAATGAAATATGAAAAAACAAAGACATTTTCTTGATCGTCATTTATTTTATGCAATAAATTTTAGGCAAGATGAAAATTCCATATAATATGAAAGTCAGTCCAGAATCATCTCAAGCATATGACAACCGAAAAAAAAAATCAATTCGGCGCGCGGTGTCTCCTGAACAACGAAATATTTTTCGCATCACAAAACGATACCCCAGTCATCACTCCGAAAGTCGATCCAAAATAGAACGACTACCGACCGATCCTGTGTAGGCATAAAATCCCAATGACCAGGCTAGACATGTTTGATAGACATTTGGTAGCGTTCCAACTCGAAAAGGACGACGACAACACCATTTTCATGCGGATCATTGTCTCGGAGACATTACAGTTTTGAAGCAACAATAGAAAAAAATTTACTTTTACTGTAAAACGTTCTATTCTGAAGGTTTGAAAAATACTCTCTAATGAATAGCGCGTATAGCTAATCTATTTTTAACAGTGTCTCACAATACATCATTCTAACCGTAGGTATAAATAATTTAGCCAGTCAGATAGATCGTAAAATACTACTAGGTATCCGGACTACTATTATAGGGACATAATAACATACGCAGTTCTCAATGCACATTCCAATTTCACTCCAATTAATCTGTTTTAAACAATGAATAACAGTCGAGTCGGTCAATGGATCTAAATAATAATTGCTTCCTTCAAACCCGTGAAACCTTTTGAACAAAATCGATATTCTGATTAATTTTTTCAGGATATTTGTGACTTCGCCAGTTACACCCCAAACAAGGATAAGAAATACCCCAAATTATTTAAATAGCACTAGGAAGTGGGTATCGAGTAAAATGTATTAACACCTTTGAAATTTTGGTAAATTTGAGAATTTCGACTAACAGTTTTGTGAAAAATTACAACCGCCTCCGCGCCTATACAATAATAACGCTTCTTTCGACATTTATACATTTTGAAGTATGTTCGGACTGATTCCACAAATCTTCTAATAGCGGTGGTTGGGTTATGTTTATTCAATTTTTTCCATACCTCCAAAAAAAAAATTCAATACTGTCCCGTTTTGAAATCCAGTCCCGTAAAAAAGTTGATATAAATAATTTCGAACAAACATCAAATGACCATACAATTGATTTTGACCAACATTTGAAAGATGAGGCAGTAATTGAATGCCATCCAAGGTCAACAAATTTTTCTTCTCTATATTTTTTTCGTTTAAAACGTAAACGGTTCAATCTCAAGAGCACGACAGCGAATTTAGAAAATTTTGTGTCAAAGAATTGCCGCTGAATCACTCGCTGGATGTTTCGGAATATATGCAAGAACTTTTCGAATAAAATTATTATTGATTGGAGTTTTCTCATTCGAATATATCAGATTGAAAGTCATTCACGTACAATTGGATATAAATCCACCCCTGCGAACAACAACCCTCAGAAGACGAAACTTGTGCGATTAACGTGTGTTTCCTAACAAAAAAATATCATACCATCATCTAGTTGGCAAGCTTATCGTCATCTTCAAGGCTACACGCAAAACAAATACATAATTTCTTGTACATTTCCAGAAATACTTCAAACAATGCTATTTTTTGAGGACCCCCCACTCTAATTGATATCATTATTGTTAATACCCATAACAATTAGATTTTTCAAAGTCTATAAAAAATTGAACAGTTTTTCATTTAAACATTCATCGGGTCGTGAAGGTTTCTCTAAATTATCTGGTCGTTCCATGTGTCTTCAAAATGTACATTCATATCATGAATGTATCATCTTTTCCTCCAACAACAAGAGGATTGTTCCGAATTCTTGGGGCTCTTGTTAATTACTNCAATTAATTATTGGTGTTTTAAAATTTCATGATTTGTATTTTGGAAGTGTTATCATTTTATAATATCATGCGAATAATAATCTATTTTTAAATAAATGCGATGAAAAATTCTTCAATTCAAAAACAGCACAAGCAGACAAGTAATATTCTTTTCTGTCGGAAAATAGCAGTGACCAAAAATGTTCTGATAATATATTGGTAATCACAAAGAATTAGTCAATTTACGTTCAATTGCCAATAACTATTTTTCAATCTCTTTATTATCTTACAAATGATCCATGGTCATCAGTTTGAACATTTGATCGACTAAAAAGTGAGCAGCTAAGATCTTTTGGAATTTTTTATAAAATTATTGGACAGAAATTCAAATTTCAAATACCACCGTGAACAATTTCATGTGCTTTAAAACATCTTAAGATGCGTATTCACCAAATAAGCGAGCACGAGCGAACAAGAGCGAACAAGAGTGAACGAGCATTCTGCATCAATAATATAATCGATTGATGAGAGAGCGAACGTATGCTTGTTCGCGTTCAGAAAAGATCGAGAAGGAGGCGTTACTAACAACTTGAAGATATTCGCTCTGGTGTGAACGAGACATGCTCGCTCATGCTCGTTCGTGCTCGCTTTTTTGGTGAATACGCACCTTTGATCGACCATGCCATTGAAATATTTTGGGGATATTATAACCCTCCCTTGGAGGTGAAAGTGGCGGAGTGGTCTATGAAATGTGGACGCAGTTCCCGTAATAACTCTGTTTAGTTTTCGGTTGAACACCCTGTATGAAAGAACTGCAAGCAAAAATTCGTATCCACATTCCACGAGCCTGTAACGAAAATGAAAAACTACTATTTTTAAAGTAGGTATAATCTCCACGATTTGTTTAGGTTATACTTGTTACGTGAGATACTCCAGTTAACTTCATGTGTCTATCTTAATGAATTTTCTACATTTTTCTAATGTGAAATTATACGAGAGAGTATATGAAACTCTAATTATAGACAGCTAATGAAAAGTGTAAACTGAGAATCAATGTAACAGAACTGATGTGGTTTTAGAGAAAATTGAAAATGAGAAAAACATGGTTAATAAAATATAGAACTGTAAATGTTGCTTCCTAATTAATACGAGTTCAATAGAATGTCACCATAAAAAGGGATCTGAATCATATTCATTGAGAATTTGAACTAAGTAATTTTGTGTCCTCTATGGGTAGACGCAATCTTAAGGTAGGTAATAAGGGACCTCAGTTCCTCATTGTGTGTTTTCATCTGTAATTTTCACATAAATTAGGCATAAATATTTTTTAAATATTGTTAGTTCATAAGTTTACTAGGTTTTTGCTTGGTTTGCATTAGGTTAACTGAGTTTATCATATATTTTCATTGACATATTATGTAGTTCCATGTCTTCATTACCCAAATGAGACAATTGTTGGTGACCGGAACTGTTTAGTGGTAAAAAGTATTCAAAAAATATAAATGATAAAGCGCTTGGTTATCTAGGTATCTAGAATATAACATTGCTTTCACTTTCTTATTAGAATAACTATTATTCAGAAAGTTATTTATATTGTTCCTTAAACAACATAACAGTGACCGAGGTAACTTTCAACAATCACCTAAACTATATCCATCCAACAAACAGATTAACCCAAACAAAGATGGATGCGTGATCAAAATAGACAAGCCTCCTTACACTGGCCAATTAGATGTAACTGCAATCGGCTGGCGGATTGTCAGTGTCGATGTGGTCAGTTACGTTTTAAAGCATGTGGTGTGTACATATACGGTATTTCAAAGTTTAAAATTTTCAAAATGTAAAGTACTGATACGGCCTACACTCCACCTA